GAGAGAGAGAGAGATGTTGACAAACCTGATCAAGCAGCTTCTAGTTTATCTCTTTCTTGTCACGGGTGCATTTGTTTTTGATTTACCTCTTTCTCTCGCCTAAGGACAGACAATGAGGGACTTGGTTAGAGTGCACGTTGGCGTGACTCCCTAGTAGAAGTGGGGTTTAGTGGAGAAGGTGACTGGCCAGTTGGGCAGGGCTGCTGCATTGTTGCCTGCATGAGTTGATCCATCTGATGGATTGGCGAGGGCTAAATATGAGGCAGGCATGGGCCCTACAAGATGAGCATCATCATCAGCCTCGAGTTGTGCATCTAATGCAATTACTGCCTCTATGTCATCCTCAAGGTGGCCATCATTGGGCGAGCATTTCAATTCTCACAAGTTAGTTTGTATCCAAATGCACCTTTCTCAACAACCAGTCGTTATTATGCACATAAACCACCGTCTTGGCACTATGTATGTAGTTGTAAGTGCTGCAACATTGCTCGAAACGTGAAGAATCGACATTATGTGACAGCACTCTCATTGCAAGAGAATACAACTTTGGCACCCCACCACTCAGGTTCCACCAAGCAATGAGATCCATCGATCTCTCATCAACCATAAAACATTGAATGGCTAAGACTTTCTTTTATGATGATGTGCAAAGTACCTCAAGGGTTCAGGGCAATGAGTATGTTCTTTGGGAGCAGCAGATTCCTCCTAATTCTCTCACATACTTTGAGGATGTAAATCATAGGAGGCTTACCAAGAAGAATAAGCAGAGGAAGCACTGCTTGGGATAATTTTCTAGCCATTTTAGGTTTATTTTCATATTTTTAATACTTTTATTTACTGGACCAATTAGGAACTTTCTAAGTATTTTATTTAAAGTTAGGGTGTTTATTTTTAAGTTACATTTAAGTTGGAACTGAATTGGTCATTTTAAGTTCGATAAAGGGCATTGTGGACTTTTGTGCTTAAGTTAGGACATAGGGGTCAGTTTCTTATTTGTATGGACAAATAATGTCCTTTGAACAATAAACAAATAATAATGAAGTGGGGTGCGAGGAGGCTAGAGGCCATTCATGTGATCTATTTCTAAGAAAAATAAAAGTGGAATCTCTAGCCTCTTGAATCCTATAGCTTGGGTGTGGAGAAGAAACCCTAGGTTTCTTGGAATAGATGCTTGTGTTTGGTTTGTTTTCTTGCAGATTTTACAGTTTTCATCAATTTTCCCACATCCACTTGGTATTAGAGCTCAGGTTTTTTCAACAATGAGGCCAAGAAACTACGGCCTAGTGTCTTCTATTTTAGGCCAAGTTTTTCTCAATTCAGCCTAGATCTTGCTGATTTCATCGAGTTTTTGTGGATTCTCTGCCTAGGGTTTGTGATTTCATCACGGCCATGGCAGCGCGAAGATTCATGGAAGGGGGATTTTGCAAAACATATATGAAGAAATTGAGAACTTCATAAG